GTATACAATGTCAATTTTTGTTCAATTTTTCCGGATAATTTAAATCAGCTCTGTATACAATGTCAATTTTTGTTCAATTTTTCCGGATAATTTAAATCAGCTCTGTATACAATGTCAATTTTTGTTCAATTTTTCCGGATAATTTAAATCAGCTCCGTATACAATGTCAATTTTTGTTCAATTTTTCTGGATAATTTAAAGCAGCTCTGTATACAATGTCAATTTTTGTTCAATTTTTTCGGATAATTTATATCAGCTCTGTATACAATTAGGTCTGCACATGTCAATGTCCACGCCCCTTCTGCTTCTGGTGGGGGCGGTGCCTCAGTTTCTGGGCACAGTGCTGATGCTGCGTATCTCCTACCACATCTCCAGGGCAGCCAAGCTGAGGAGGGCCCAGCTGGAGGGGGAGTTGGAGGCATCCGAAGCAAAACAGGCACGAGTAGTTACTTTCTGTTATAACTCACCACATGCTGTTTGGAAAAAACAATCATATAAAGACAAATATTAAAATTTTGTTGGCGCATCAGAGAATTAGTCATTTATTGATTTTCAATAATACGAAAAAGTTCATGAGGCTTACAACAAAACAAAATAGCTTTAAGTATTTAAGGCTATTTTTGTTAATTTCGAAGACTCGATTGACGATGAAGTGTTCAGAAAATAGTTTCGTTTTTTATGTAAAAAAAAAACATTTTAAAATTAATTTGAACTGAAATTATGACCCAACAATTGTTTCATTTTTGTTCCAAAAACAATGTGTAACAAAAATTGACCAAAACAATTCGCTCAATTCGTTCAGACAACGCATGCGATGAATTCCATGTCAGTGTCCGTGTCACACCTGCCCGGCGGCACACAATCCAGCCACTACCACCAGAACAGCCACAGCAACAGTGGCTACAACAATGGCGGCCACCACGTCGACTTCGCCTTCGGAGTCGACTTCTACATCAAACAACTAGGCGAGTTATGTTAGAAGTATACATAGCGTTTCTAAGAAAGTCAACAAAGGTATGTTTTGTTTGAAGAAGTAACGAAGGCCTCCCGTTTGAAAAACGCTGTTTAGCTTAAAGACTACAAATTTACTTAAGAACAAACGAGCCACGACAAATTATGTCTGTTTTATTAACTCCAAATATGCCTCGAGGATTATTTCCCAGGAGCCTTGGATTTTTAACCCAGTTCATTTGGGAACTGCGGATGATAATTTCACGCCGGATAGTTGCGGCATAAACTATTTCATTACTTTTGGAATAATTTACACCCATGGGTGAACAGAGCCACAGTGGAAGTCCTTAAATAGGTTATTTTGGGTGAATAATCGCCAAGATCCGCTCTGCTTCTGGTTTTGCAAATTTTTCTTGAAGTCAGAACCTTTTTCTGGAACGTGTGAATTGAACTGATTTCGAGCAGCTGATTTAGATGTTAGAATACGATAGAGTTCTTCACGATATAGTTCATTGAAAACAACCGATTCTAAAACAATTTCCTTCTAGCACGTTTGGTTCATTCTTGCACGTTTGGTACAAGAATTGGGTACAAAAATGCCTATTCACAAAAAATCCGCAATGCGAAACGTCATTTTTGTTTAAAAAAGTGAAAAAATTTAAATGAAAAGTGAGCCATTGGAAAACTCTGCTGAATATGGTGTTCTTGATAAGAGTTGCTAAAAAGTCACTTTGTGATTGGACATTTTTTGTGAGGTTATTAGTTTGCATTGGGTATCAAAAATGAGTGCCTTTGAAATTGTTTACATTTAGTTTCTGTTGAAAAAACCTTCACAGAATTTTTTAACATTAAAACTAAAAAAAAAGAAGCTCTCTAAGTCTTTTGTTCTTCAAAAATATTCTCTCAAAGGCAGCATTTTTAGAAAAACATATATATATATTCCCCCACACGAAAAAACAAAATGTTTGGATTAATTACCAAGCCTTCCCAATCGGAATAACTTTGAGTTGGGAGCAGTTCATCTAATGTTTTGAGCTGGGGCGTTGAATCGTATAATTATATAGGCTTCAACTGAGTGCGCAAATATTAGCCCAAAAATAAGCTGAATGACCATCTTTCAATTATCAAATTTAAAAAAAATGGTCGTATCAGGGCGAAGCTCTGAATGTTCCGACTGTCTTTTAAGGTCTATGAAGTAGAAATAACATGAAAAAATCATCCCCACACGCCATGTAAAACAGAAAGTGGTCGATTTCGCTCCTAGTAGCAAATCAATTCTGGCAAATAAGTTTCCTTCAACCAGTTTGGATCGATTTATAAGAAGGATTAAATCTCCGCTTACGCGTTAAGAGCGGGAATTATATCGCGCGATAATTATCCCAAGTTGGCCAAAATGGAAATCTTCACACATTAAAACTAAAAAAAAGAAGCTCTCCAAGTCTTTTGTTTTTCAAAAATATTCTCTCAAAGGCAGCATTTTTAAAATATATATATATTTCAAATTTAAGCTCAAGACAACAATACCTTTGAATGATATCAAAATTTTTGTCGTTTTTTGAGCGTAGTAGGATGAGAAGATGAAAAAAGTTGAGAACGGCGGTGAATACTCATAATAGTTAAATTTATAAGTTGTCTTAAAAAATATTAAAGCAGATTTTCTTCCAGATTTTTGAAAGTTTTTCGTTCATAAGTTTTACTTTCTGAAGAAACGTTTACAAAAGCTTTATTGACTAGTTTTTACAAATTAAAACAGGTTTTTCATTGCTTATAAACTGATTGTTATATAAGAAGAGTTAATCGCTCGCTTAAATCTCTTGAATTTTTAAATAAAAGTCAGAAATTGTTTACTAAGTTTTTTGGACATTGGGAATATTGTTTCGGAACTTCTTAAAGTCGTTTGCGTTAAGGCCGTAATGGCGTTGAAATGATGTGTCATATGACTCACTCGGATGATTTTTTTTGTTCAAAACTTTGCGCGGGAAAAACAAGGTTATCCGGTTACTCAGCGTTTTTGGTTTAGCGCTTTTTTAGGCTAGGAAAGAAAACATTAAAGCTAAAATATTTAATAAATTTATCATCGTAGTCTTTATTTGTCTTCCAAATTTTTTTCCAGACTTTAATGACCAAATTTATTTTAGAACTTCCCTGGCTGGTTCTTTTATCTCGATTTTAGACTAAAAAACAATTGGTGTTTTTTTTTGATAATGAATAAACTGTTCATAAACTTTTCAATATTTATTGAATCACGATTTAAAGGGTACTAATCTATTATATCACTCGACCATTCTAATAACTATTTGAATATCATCCTTTTGCTCAAAAACAAATTCTTTAAATAAAAAAAGCTCAAGCAGATAAACTAAAAAAAACTAAAGCACAAGAAAATATTTTTTCACCATTTTCAGCAGCCAAAACAAAAAATATGAACGCTCACACGAAGCACTAAAACATAACTTAAAAACTAAAGCACAACTAGAAAAAATGTTTCACAATTTTCAGCCGTCGGAACAAAAAATATGAACACTCATACGAGTAGTAATATACTGCAATATCTAAAATAGCATGATTGTTTGCAGCATAATTTTTGTACATTTTTTGTTCTGAGCGCAAAATGGCAAGGGACGTCGTTTTTGAGTAACTTAAATTTTTTCTAATTTTCACTTGTATTTCATTTAAAATCAGGTACCACTAGTTCGACACAGTTGGAGTTCGAGTGATACATCATATTAAAATTGTTTTCAGTCGTAACTCGATTAACATTTAAAACCTTGAAGAATTGCTCTTAATTTTAGTTAAGTTTAAGCAAAAATCACAAATTTTTCAACAAAAAAAAATTAACTCGATAATAATTTTCCACTTCTACAATTCCTTCCTATTTACGACATCACGAATTTAGCAATAGAGCATGTAAAATTACAAAAACCATAATCGCATGTAAAAGTGCACAAAATGAAAGTCTTTAAATATGGGGGGAGGAAAAGAGCCCGTTATTGATAGTTTGGTATTTGGTCTTAATCTAGCTTTTAGTTTTTAAACCTGTTAAAAAACGAATAAAAACGATTTAAAAATGGATTTTTTTAAAAATATTTGTTTTGCAAAACTACAAAAAAATTTTGCAAAATTTTGCAAAATTACAACTTAGTTCAGAGCTTTCTGTGCGACTCAACTTGCACATCAAAACTTTTTTTTTTGTTTTATATGTTTTTTTTTTGTTTTTGAGTGTAGCGAGGAACTACTTCACTCGGTGGACGTGGATGACGGCAGTGCTCGTGTTCCCCTCCTTCTTCATCAGCACCCTCTCCTTCTGTCTCTTCCTCAGGGGTGCCAAGACCCCACACTACTTCGGATACTTCCAGGTACCACCATCACGCAACCTCAAATCTCTTCAAAACATAAACACGTCACAACAACCCATCTCACGGGTTGACCATCCTGGTGAGAATTTAGACTTAGTAGACAAAAACTCCCCGATCTTAGAACTTCTTATAAGCTTTGTAGAAAATTTGCGCTATCTTACAACTTTCTCATAAGAAAAAGTCCCTATCTTGTAACATCCATAGATTTTGTGAGAAGTTGTAAGATTCTCATGAGAAAAAATCTAAGCGGCTTTCGGTCAACCCGTGCTCTACATGCTTTACTTGTTTTACATAATTCAAATACCATTATTGAACTTCATTAGCAAAAAAAATCAATAAATGTTTATATCAGTCAACCGAAAGTAAGCACTAATGTTTTAAATACAAGTTTTCTCTCTGTAATAATCCATTCAAAAAACCCTGGTGTTTAATAGAAGTAAAAAAGCACATTCGACCGACTCAAAATGGCGTCTGCGTTTCACACAAGGGGGCAACGCCCTCAAAAAAGGATGTCGCAAAATACTATCAAATGGGGTATCCTTTTAGTAGCAAAGGTATCTTATTCCTGATCGGAGAGCTTTTCATGGAGGCAAAGCCAGCAGGCAAACAAAATCAATGACGTGGGTCTCAAAAGAGTCTAATTATGTCTAAAGTGAGAGACTAGTCTAAAATATTGATAGCCCTCAGGTCGTATTTGTACCCATATACAGCCCCATAAGTGCTGTCTTGATTAGTTTCCTTGAGGGTAAAAATGGGAAAATCCAGACAGGTTATTTCCCAAACATCAAGCAGAGATATAATTAAAAATATAAAGTGTGCATGTTGCTTTCGGGAATTCTGATCCTCCCTGTCGTAAATTTATGTACTTCTCCTGTATTTAATCACATGTTTATGTCGGCACATCTGCTTAATTCGTATGTTTATTTTTTTAAATCCTGGTACGAAAAGTCAAATCCTTATTTTCTAAAAGTAACATTAATGTTGGGATTCTTTTCCTCTTCCTTTCCCACATTTCATAACGCTTTCAGTGTATGTTTACTCTTACATTCTCTAAATGCTAAATACGTGAACTTTCGAAGTATGAAAAACTAATGTGTTCAGAATGGTTAACAGTTTTCATTGCATTATGGCAAATGTTTTCATTTTCTTTTAAGCTGAAATTCAATTATGGGGGAGGGGGAATTGAACATATTCTTAAAACTTTCGGGATTTTTATTTTTTCGTAAAAGTATTATATATTTTATTTCATTTTAAGTAAATTAATTTCAGGCAACGTGTGACTCACTCATATTTTTCACCCAACCCGTCAACCTCACCATCTTGTGGGTATCTCTAGTCATGAAGCACCTCCCCCCAAGTGAGAACAAACGAGGCAACAAAACCCCGATGGGCGGGGACACAATTTCCGCCACCGCTGCTCTCAATTTCAGCGGGGCTTCGGGTGGTGGACAATTGTCCCGGGCTACCTCAATCAAGTACCTCCCGTTGAGCACCTCTATGCCCGCGACAACTGCGGGTGTTTTTATAAATTCGATACCACACGGCGCCATGGTGCAGACGCACGGTGGTGTTGCGCACGGGATCGTCTACCCGACGCCCCCACCCGAGAGTCAGTTTCAGTCGGCGGGCAAGTTTGGGGTGGTGGGGACTTCTAGTCTGCCGCAGCAAGGAGTCTACGTGACGGAAAACGGTGAAGTAATGATGCTAACGTGTTTTAGTAGTTGCAGAAGAAAATAACACCATGAGTGCCTGAAGCTAACTGATTGTAATTCTTGCCGCGGCGCTTTTCTCATGCGCGAAAGCCAAATGCGCGGAAATTCTCAACCAATCATTGCCATGCCCAGTAGCGGATTTGGGGGGGGGGGGGGACGCCTTTCCCTCCGGGATTCTACCCCCTGCCGACCCAAAAGGTCCCCCCCCCCCTTTGTACCATTTGGAGATATCCATTTTTGGCTGACTGACCTTAAAAACTTTCTCAGTGGGGAGTGCGCGCCGAAAAAACGCGATTTTTTTATCAAAACTTTCCAAAACTGGCCTTTTTCAGTGGGGAGTGCGCGCCGAAAAAACGCGATTTTTTGATCAAAACTTTCCAAAACTGGCCTTTTTTGCCTGTTTTTTTTCTCAAATATTTGTTTGCGGCGCGGAAAATTTGGTCAAAACAGGGTCTTTTTAGTAGTATAGGAGAAATCAGAAGATCAATTCGGTCAACCTAAAAAAAACGGACAAAATTTTTTTTTAAAAATAAATCTGCACCCTCGAGAAAGTTTTAGATCCACTCCTGGCCGGCAGCGTGCAAACGTTTAAAAAATTACTAGTTGTGTGAATCTGAGCCCTAAATGAAATCTTAACATTTTTTTTGTTATGAAATTTGAACTTTTTAGTGTGTTGTTTAGGAAGCTATTCGATTGTACCAGCTAGAGCATCAGTCCAGACCCCAGTCAATGCTCTCGGGAGCCATCATGGAAGCGAGCATATAAACAACAACAACAACAACATAAGCAACAACAACAACAACATCAGTAACAACAACCTCCTAAACAGCACAAATAACATAAACAGCAACTTGATCCACACAAATAACAGCACGAGGAACAACAGTCGTACAGAAATGAGAGAGATCATGGGGGGATACACTGTAGTAGAGGCGGGGGGAGATCCTGGGGACAGAAATACGAATACGAACACAGTCGCAATTCAAACAGGCGCCAGTTACTTCTCACCCGAGAGCACGGGCGAAAGTGTACAGAGCGACGTGTAACTATGCCAGAACCAACTGTACTTCCTGTGAAACACCTCCTTTCTACCACTGCAAACTTTTTACAAATATAAGTAGACCACTTTAATAGCCCAATAGCCCAATTAGCAATAGCCCAAGATCTATTTAAAAAACTCTGGAAATCTAATATCATTTTGATTAATTTTGGACGTGGACGTGAACTCAGCTGGAGTTTTGTTAGTGATGTTAATTAGTTAAGAGCTTAACATGCGATGAAGCTTTATTATGAATGCATAAACTGCGGCTTAATTTGTATTTTGTTTTGTATTGTCTTTTCGGTCAGCTATTGTAGTTCTTTTTGTAATTTCGCAGATATTTTCGTAGCTAAATGGATTCAAATCAAAAGTAATTTACATTTTATTGTGATAAAATGAACCAAGTTAATTTTAGTTAGCTGCTGAATATTCTTCTCAAGTTTAAAAATACTATGAACCTCAGTAAACAACAAGAGCATAAAATTTGAAAAACCGAGATCACCTAGAACTTAAAAATCTGTCTAGATGTCTCGTCTCGGCTTCAACTCGCAATTAACCCCTGATTCAAATTTCAAGAAATTGACTTCAAAAAAGCACTAAGAGCTTGTTCGAACGAAACATCTTTCCTCTTTTGGCGTGCTTCCGACTTTCGAACCCTTTGGCGCCAATCTATACTAATTTTGAGGGGAAAGCGCGCGCCAAAAAAACGCGATTTTTTTGGTCGAAATTTTCCAAAAAAAAGGGCTAAAAACGCCTTTTTCGGCCTTTTTTTTTCAAAAATTTGCTTGGGCGCAGAAAATTTGGTTAAATTAGGGTTTTTCATAGTGTTTAGGGAGAGCTCAAAAAATCAAATTGGTCGACCTAAAAAAATATTTTAGCCTAGAAATTACGCAGTATGAAATGATCAAGCCGATACAATTTAAGCAGAAACTAATTAATCGAAAAAGAAAAAAAAATTCAAAAATTGCATTTGGTTATGTTTCGAATAACTGATTTTTAAAACTATAATCAAAACTTTGAATCAAATAAAATCTATGCTTCAAAAAACTGATAAAAATCATACGAGATAACATAAAGGGCATTCAAAAACAGAAAATCAACGGACGGAAACTAGGACAAAAACCCAGAATCAGGAAAAAATCATTATTTTTTAAAAGATTTTGGGAAAAAAATGTTATTAACTGACACGAATTTAATTAATTGCTACCTTAATGATGGTAGTTTGTAAAATTCCACTTAGAAGCATATCATCAGAAAAATTCAGAAGTCTTATTCAATTGACAATTCTGTGAACAAAGCTTTTTACGGGAGAAAATGTTTATTAACCGGTTAGAACACTCTTACTTATCGCAAGGGTACGTAATGAATTGATGAGGGTTGCGGAAATCAAAATCATGAAGCGGGAAAACAGGCTTTTAACTTTCTTTACAACTAATAGCTCATCGATACAATTACACCAATGTTCGCAATTGCCACTGCCGTTCTTCCAATCACTTAAGATTTAGTCAAGTCACTCAATTTGATCTATCAACTAAGCTCTAATTCATTTGAAAGAACGCACACACATGCAAGCAACTAGATGTAATTAGGTGTAGTTGTTCCCATTGAGCAAAAATTTAATCAAAAATTTTTTAAAATTGTTTCTGGTTGATCGTTGTAAACTTAAAAATTACTCAAAAGCTGTTTTGTTCACATTAGCATATCTGGCTAGACATTAGTGTGCATATACACTTCTTTAGCCAAAAAAAAAACTGAAAACCAACGCTAACTTGGTCTCAATTTTTCTCTAACTAACCTGTAGGGGAGCTTTCAATTTTAATATTAAGAAATCTAGTGTCACAATCATAAGTATATTCTCAGCGCTTGAGATTCTAGAAATGTTGCAATAAGTTTCAGAGCAAAGCTTTAAGAACACTTTGTCTTAAATTCAGACACATGAAAACACGAAAATTTCAGAGTTGCTATGGTCTTAAACATATAAAAGCTGGGAGTGATCTAGGATTTTCTCGATGGGGTGGATTTTCAAAAAAATTTCCAAAATTTTGTCGACATTTTTTTAGGTCTACCAAGTTGATTTACGGAGCTCTCCCAAATCACCATAAATACTTAATTTTGACCAAATTTTCTGCGCCGCAGGCAAAATTTTGAAAGACAAAACAGGCCAAAAAAGGCGTTCTTAGGCAACTTTTGGAAAGTTTTGACCAAAAATTCGCGTTTTTTCGGCGCGCGCCCCGCCTTCAAATTACTATATAATGGCACCGAAGGCGCCTTTGGAAACATTTTGGTGTACTTCGCCAAAAATAGATATCTCAAAATAGGAGAAATTAGGACCCTTTGGGTCGGCAGGGGGTCGAATCCTTGAGGGAAGGCGTCCGCCCCCCCCCCCCTAAATCCGCTACTGTATACAAGAATACTTGTATCAAGGCGAAACCCTGAAATGTTCTGACTGCCTTTTAAGGTCTATGGAGCAGTAATAACGTCAAAAAAATCTTTGTAATAAAATGAAAAGAAAGATTTTTTATTTGAGGTTTTTTTTGTGCAAATCCCCCCACACGCCATATAAAGTGATAAGTTTCGCTCCTAGTAACAAATCAATTCTGGCAAATACGCTTCACTCAACCACCCCGAGCACAAATATTCCGTTATGTTCACACGGAAAAACCTTCGAACGAAAGAAAGACTTAACCTCGTCTTAAAACGGTCTGCTTCCAACGTATCGATCTCAGGACAATTCAATTTAAAATATAACGCTAGATTGGGGCTACGGGCTGGTGAACCTAATAAACTATGCCATCAATTCAAAAATTCTGATTTTTTTCTTAAGAATTCGATAAAAAGAATTCATATGTGATTATTTTTCGTAAAGTTACGGGGGTTTAAAGATTGCCATTTTGGCCTATATGGGACAATTAATGCGTGATATACTTTGCGCTATTAGCGCGTAAGCGGAAAATTAATCAATCTTAAAAAGGCTCCCAGATTGGTTGAAGGAAGCTTATTTGCCATAATCGATGTGTTACTAGGAGCAAAATCTAACACCTTGTACTTTATATGGCGTGTAGGAGATGTTTTTTTACAGAAAAATCTCAAATTAAAAAAATTAATTTTATTTTATTACATTTACTTTTTTCATGTTATTACTGCTCCATAGACTTTAAAAGGCATTCGGAACATTCAGGGCTTCGCCTTGATACGAGAAGTTTTTTTTAGTTTGTGAGCCTTTGAGGTTCATTAAAAAGTTTTTCATTTTGATTCACGCTAGCCATTGGAATGATTAAAAAGGTCATTTTTGCTTACCCGGGTTGACCTCCATACACCAAAAATGCTTATGATACAATTCCATACCCGGGTTGACCTCCATACACCAAAAATACAGTTCTAAAAATGGTTGAAAACTGGTATAAACTTATTTCTGTGGCTGTTTGATTCTAATAAAACAGTCTGGTGATAGAAAACTGAGGTTTTCGTTTTTTGAAAAAAATGCTTATCATACAATTCCCATTTATGGAAATTGTATGACTGGCATTTTTTTGATGGCGACACAAAAAAATTTTCAAGTAATTTTGAAAATTTGGCACAAAAATTTTTCGTTTTTTTTTTCAACCGCAAATCGAATTTCGTACGCAAACAAACATTTTTCGAAAAAAATTTTTTTGCATGCAAAATTTAATTTTTTGTGTGCATAACGTAGTCTTGGTTACAATAATATTGGCTTTTATTTTCTTTTGACTTAATTTTTTTTCTTCAAAAACGCTGAAAATTCCTATTTCCTTTGTATGGGGTGTTTATATATGCCTTGATCAATGTCTGATAATTTGAAAATTCAAAAATTTAAAATAATCACCATTAAAAAATTTTGCCAAAAACTAAAAATTTGTTGCTTTTTTTATATCAATTGTGAAAGACAACCGAATTCAGGTCCTTTTCTATGCATTATAAATGCAAAGACCGTCCAACCTTTGGTGCTTCGAGTAACCAAGGTCTTTGTCACTTGTGTTCGGCTGCAAACACAACCGAAAATATTTCAGAAATAAATTTAGAAAGAAAAAATCAAACTTTTTGGTTTATGGAAAAGCATCTATCATACAATTTTCATTTATGGAAAAATGTTTATCATAGAGATTTCATACAATGTTCTGTACGTATGGCATTGTATGGAATTGTATGACAAGAAGTTTCTCATATATGGGAATTGTATGATAAGAAGTTTCGGTCATCCCGGGTAAAAAGGACTTTTTGCGGACTATGTAAAGCATTAGTTTCTGGTTTCAAATGGCAAAACATTCTCCTGTTTTTTTTTATATTACCAACATTTCCTTTGAATTAAAATTCTTTTTAATTTTGGAATCAAACGACTTCTTTAGCATATATGGCCTTGGTATGTAGTGATTTTAGGACGCTAAGGTATTGAATTAAACTGAGTTAAATTGTACGGTTTTATGTAGTTTTGCAGTTAAAAGATGGGAACCAGAGAAAAGTTTGAAGTTTATTCTGCAAAATTTTAATCAAATGTGACAAAAATAATCAAATGCTCTCTCAAATTTTGATTGCTCAATATTTTGCAAAATTGTTGCAAATAAAAAAACACGATCTCCTCCGAATAAAAACAGGCCAAGAAAAATATATCTTTCTCGTTCGAACTATAACAAAACCAAATTTATCAACTGTTACTTTTATGCAATATTAGCGCGGCTGGTAGAGCTGAAATAATTCAATTTAAAATGCAACAAGACTGCTCGTATCAGGGCGAAGCTGCCGACTGCCTTTTAAGGTCTATGGAGCATTAATAAGATAAAAAATATTCAAAGTAATAAAAAAATTAAAAAATTTTTTTGAAAAAATTTGAGATTTTATGTAAAAACATCCCCCCACACGTCATATTAAGTACAAAGTGATAAATTTTGCGCCTATTAACAAATCAATTATGGCAAATAAGCTTCCTTGAACCAATTTGGAACGATTTCTAAGACAGATTGAATCTCGCTTACGCGTTAATAGCGCGAAATTTATCGCGCGTTAATTGTCCCAAATTGGCCATAATGACAATCTTTAAACCCCCGTAACTTTACGAAAAATAATCACAGGTGAAATATCTTTTCAAATTTAAGCTCAAGACAACAATAGCTTTCGAATGATATAAAAAAAATTCCGTCAAAAATGGCTAGTTAAAAAGTCGAAATTTGTCTGAAGAAAAAAAACCCACCCCGAGCACAAATATTCCGTTACTTTCGTATCGAAAGTCGGAACAATTATTTTGGATGGACCGAATTAACTAAAAAGAGCTTTCTGCCATTTTTAGACAAATTTTTCATGAAAACAAGAAATTTCAGGCGAATTTCATACTGTTTTTCTGAAAAAAAAGTTTTTGTATGTTAAATTGGCTGAAAGAGATAATTTGCTCTTTTGAATAAATTCGGTCTATCTGAACTTTTCTCTAAATTCCGAACAAGTCTCTTTATTCGGCTAAGAGGACATCTGATTGGCGTTAGGCCGAGAGGCATTAGTGGCCACTTTCAGCCACCGTCTGTACCTCTCTCGGTCTTCTTTTTCTTCTTTTTTCTTTGCCTGCTGCTCATTTTCAGCCTCAAATCTCTTCTCATATTCATTCCACTGAGTCAGAGTTCGAAGGTCTACACTAGCGTACTGTTTGAAAGGGTCGCAGCTATTCCCACTCGCCCCTAAATTAAAAACTGCTGCACCCCCGAGAGAATCGTGTTGCGTTTTGGATCGGTTGAATGAGGGCGGTTGAGCTAGGGTTGAGTTGGGTTTGAACTTGGAATTGAGCAACATGGGCGACTGGTGTCGGCTAATTGAAGTTCGGGCAGTAGACACAGGGCGCAGTTCTAGAGGAAAAACAGGAACTTTACTAAACACTTTTACTACTTAATTTTACTAGCATGCCACCACCGCCGCCCCCCCCCCCCTCCGTCCTTTCCCGGCGTATAAACCACGCCTCGGTACTTTTTTTCCAGCTTGGCAATTCAAAAGTTAACTTTCCCGCTGTACTCATAAATCTACAAACGTGACACCTTCCATAAGAGTTTCAGAACAAGTTTTTCTTAGAAAATTGCTTTTGACATCACAAAAACTAATTCCATCAAAAAAAAACTTACATGTAAGAATGTCACTTGCATAAAATTGATTTTGAACTATTTTCACTCATATTTTTTTTCAATTTTTTTGATAATCCGGAAGTTCGCTTGAAATATCTAACCATCTTGTTCCTGATTGGCTGGCGTTTTGCGTATTCTATTCTGATTGGTCGACGCTGTCTTGACGTCCACGATTGGTGGAATTGTAGATTTCACTTTAGACGGTATGATCTTCGACTCTTTTGTCGGGTGGACTTTTTTCACGAAGTGAGTTGCCGCCCGCTCCGACACTGGTTCCGGTAACGGTTTCTCGACCGGAGGCGGCGGAGGTGCACGCGGTCGGAAACTGTTGAATTCGGACGTGCTGGTCCTCTGTCTAGGGTCTATTTCGAAAGGTGCTGAGCCGGGTCTGTTTTGCAAGGTTTCTGGCGGGACGGGTGAAGGACAAGCGGTGGTGTAGAAGTGGGGGTTGGACACATTTTTAGCTGTGTTTTCACTCGTCTTTCCTGGTGAAAAAGTTTAAGTTCATCACTTCTGCACTATGAAGTTCACTCGAAATTAACCAGTTAACTGTTTTAGTCACTCAAAGAGAAGAAGACAATCGGAATATTTCAGGGTTTTGCCTTGATACTACAGTACTCCCGGGTTGAAGTTGCATTGCAATTCAGATAAGTATAATAGATCTTTCATTTTTTTGCATCCATGTATCATTCATGTTGCAGTGTCACTATAACGATGTTCTTCGTGTTTCATCTATGAAACATGGATGCAAATTACATTGATGCAATAACAATGATACATTTCTGAATTAAGATCATTTATCCACGAGGGATAGGACCAACATACGAGCTGTACAGCTCATCACGGCGAACCGCTGTTGTGCCTCTGCTTAAGAACTACATGCAATTTTTTTGGTTATTTTTTTGGAATTGCAATTCAACTTCAACCTGGGCTGTCTTTTAAGGTTTTGCATTAATAGTCGGAAAATTTATCATTTTGGGCTCGGCATGGTTTTCTGCTGTTTTCAAGTTTTGTAGAAAAGAGGTCTCATCTCTTTAAAAAAGTGGAATTTAAACTGCTACAACAAGTTCACTATAATTTATATTTATCTCACCAAAATAGAGTCCTTTTTGTTTTACCTCAGGCTGTAGCTCAAATTCTGCGATTCAAAATTGTGGGTGCGTTTGTGTTTCTGAAATCATTTCAATTTCAGAATGAGATTTTGTAAGACTTTTCAGATTCAGTTCGCAATCAGGAAGTCGATATCTTCAATGGGGTAAAAAAGTTTTGTCGAAAACTATTAATTCGATCGGCGAAAATTGACTGAAAAAAACCACTCCGAGCATAAATAATCCGTTTTCTTTGAAAGTCGGAACAATTAAGAGCTGAGTCTTATATGGAAATATAATGACCAATTTGCTTGCCCAAAATGAATTTGTAAGAATTCGCTGTTCGAGATAAATCGCCATGCATTGAAAATTCCCGTTAGACTTTCAGTATCAAAATAATAAACGAGCAGTTTAGTTACCTGCACCAAGCATTTGAAATTTTAGTTACCCGATTGAATTTTTAGCTTTTCGAGATAAATATAATCCATTATATTATAATCCATCATAGATATAAAACTGAGCCCCAATTAACCCTTCTTCAGTTTTTAAACAGAACGCGATAAACAAGACGAGGGGGAAAACTGGGTGAGATGAGAGTTGGTAAAAGAGGCGGAGCTTAGCCATTGGAAACAACCCCGAACCCCACGTTCAACCATTAATGCGCCGTTGAACATTAAATTCCCTTCTCTACTTGAACGTGAGACGGGTGTGTTTTAATAGCGATTTTGGTAAAAAGGAAAACAAATAAACTGTTAAACTGCAATGAAATGGTTATTGAAAAAGAAAGAAAAAAATTCTATATAAAACATGAAAATTGAAAAAAAAAACGGAACAAAACACTTGGCGTTGCTTTTCAGTTGTGATCGTTTTTTGTACAAATATGGGAGTTGAACTTTGCTAATTTGGCTTTTTAGGGATAATTAACACGCAATATTGAGTTTTTATAAAACGCTCAAGCGGTGGATTAAATCGTTCCAAAATGAATTAAGGCCATTAATTTGGTCATACTTCTAGAGCAAGATAAGCTAAATACATCGTTTCGTACTTTTTATATGACCTTAAGTGCAGTCGGAACATTCAGGACTTTGCCCTGATATACGTACGAGCAGTCTTTTATGTAACTGAATAGCATTTTTGGCAAAAATATATACCCCTAAATTACACTCTCACCATCAGGGTGAACTGCTTGCTTGATCATGTTGACAGTGAGATAGATCTGGTCCTGGGTGATGTTGCGCTGGTTAGTCTGTCTCTTCTGGGCACGCAACAGAGCCAGTGCCTCCGACAAGTTCAGATTCGCTCTGTTGTACTGGATAGTTCTGAAAACCAATCAGATAGTCATACAGATAATCAGAACATAGACCTCAGAAAGAGGGATAGAATGAAGGGGAAAAGTGTTTCGACTGATCAAGATTCGAACCAGAGATCCTTGCTTCAGTTCCTGTTCCTTTTAATTGTTCAGCAGAAACAAAAAGTTAAAAAAAACTTGATTGTTTGAAGTTTAAAATTCCAGGCAAAACTACCAGTTGTAAAGTCAGCAAACAGAATGAAAACTGTACCCCGCAATAGTAGAGTTTCGTCTTCGCTTCTCGGCTTCATTCAAGTTCGGATCGGGTTCCGAGGTGTCGGCAGTATAGCTGGTGTTCTTCGGCTGGCTCAACTGCTGCTTCGAGAGCATCTGCACCGACTGCAGTGCCTGGAACTGGAAGTTGGAATCCAGAGGTCCCGTCAAAGTTGTCGTCCCGGGAGCTGTCGTCGGAGGATGTGAACTACGAGAGCTCTTGGCGGCACTTGTTGGGATGGACTTGGATCCGACTGCGGCACGACTTCTGGTCGGTTTGCTTGTGGTGGGTGCTCCTAATTCGGACCCCCATTCGGAATACTGGTCGGAGTCGATTGTCTGCGGCCGCGAAATCAATTGTGCTAAAATATGAAATGAACTAACACACTAGAAAAAGTAACAAAATCAAAATTGTTTGATATACGTTAAGAAAACACATTGTAACAACTTGAAGACGTGAGTCAATTTTAAAAAAAAGGAAGTTAGAGAGCCATGTATCGTTCGAACTTGAATTTTCAAAAGTGCAAAGCTACCGAAGGAAAATGTTACATCTTTGCGTTTCCACAGAACAAGCAAATATCGTGACGCCACAATTCGTAACAGGTGACAATCCGTAACAGGCGACAATTCGTAACAAGCGACAATTCGTAACTGTAGGGTAAGCGGGGAACACTGATTCACGCGCAGTATGTAAGCGCAGCGGAGCAAGCGTATTCTACTTGCCATAGCCTTTTTACCAAATGTCGCTTGTTAAGATTTGTCGCCTGTTACGAATTGTCGCCCTACCAGCAAATATATCAAATTAGATTAATTCTTCTAATTCTTTCGTCAACTAAGTACCCTTTTTCTTGGGCATTTTTTGAGTGGTGATAACACTGCCACTTGTCTGGGGTCTCCTGTAGTCCGATCCAGGCACCTCCGGATGTGTAAGGATGCGCGGGTTGGTCCCTCCCACCTGGAACGGATTAACAGAGGAATTGTAACCAATGTTTTTTCGGAGTGCGGTCAAAATGTAGACAAACTTTATTTAATACTCGTCAAAGAGTAGACAAATACAAATATTAACAAATCGGAATTTAGATTTAGAAAAACAAACGCAGAAAAATTTTTTTAAATAGTTATTTGTTTCAATCTGATTGATGAAAATAGTATTTGTCTACTTTGTGACGTGTCTGCTTTATGACATGTCTACTTAGAAAGTATCCGTTCTTTCATTCTCATTTGGAAAACATCAAAAGGAGAACGGTAACATTTAAATTTTGGGTGTCAGGACGAAAAATACCGTACCAAAAAATCCCTTGTACAAAAATCGCCCATACCACAAGATCCCATGCCAATTAAAAGATCCCATGAATTATGGACAAATGTCATGATCAAAAAGTAATCAGAAAAAAAATCCAGAGTAATGGTATCTTAATTTGGTTCGCCCTATTAATGAACAACGCAAATCTAAGAAAACTAAATTCAAATTGGACTCTAGTTCGAATTAAGATGCTATCGGCGTGTGTTTCAATTAATATTAATATGGCCTTGAATTCGAACAACTTTAGTGAAAAGGTATATACTCTGCATTCATTCTCACTATTTTACTCATTGAATAGTAAAAAAAATACTTTTACTTGGGGAACCTCGCAAAAAACCAAACACTAAATTTTAAAATGTTTGATAGCAATTTGATCTCTAGCGATTTAATCTTAGAGCAATTGCCCTTCTTTACCGGACAATAGGTTGGGGGTAAACGCCTTTAGGCGCTTTGAGTTTTGCGCCTAGCGAAAAAAAAAATCATCAAAACTGAGAATTGATATTTTTTTATCAAATAAAATGGCAAGTGATTCCTTATGAAAATGATTTCAAAGTTTTAGTATTTCGCAAAAACTTAATTTCAATTTTTGTACTGACTTCGGTTGTCAGAAAAATCAGGCTTTTCAAGTTCATTAGTAGCCTAAGCTCTTTTGAAGTTTGAGTTTCAATTTGAAGGCCAAGTGATTAGCAAGGTCATTTATATTCGAAAACTGTGCAGCAAAAAATTTGTTATTTCTTTGATTTCAACCGAAGTTTGATTTTGCTTTCATCAATTAACCACCTCATTTTCGATTTTTTTTTGATTTTTCGTCATTTTCCGACAATTTTTGTAACGAAAATAACGAAATATTTGTGCTCGGGGTGTTTTTTTTCTTCAGGCAAACTTCGACTTTTCAACTAGCCATTTTTGACGGAATTTTTTTTATATGATTCAAAAAGTATCGTAAACTTGAGCTTAAATTTGCAATAAGACTGCTCGTATCAAGGGGAAGCCCTGAATGTTCCGACTGCCTCTTAAGGTAGGTTAATGGAGCAGTAATAACATTAAAAAGTTAAGTATAATAAAACAAAAAGCAATGAAAGTCATCCCCCCACACGCCATATAAAGAACAAAAGAATAGATTCCGCTCCTTGTAACAAATCAATATGGTAAGTAAGCTTCCTTCAACCAATTTGGAACGGTTTCTAAGATGGTTTAAATCTCCGCTTACTCGTTAATAGCGCGAAATATATCGCGCGTAATTGTACCAACTTTACGAAAAATGATCACAAGTGAAATAACTTTTCAATTCGATTATTTACCTCTCGAATGATATTTAAAAATTCTGTCAAAAATGGCTAGTTAAAAAGTCACAATTTTTCTGAAGAAAAAAAACCCACTCCGAGTACAAACATTCCATTACTTTCATATCGAAAGTCGGAACAAAAATATTTTGCTTGTGATTATTTTTAGTAAAGTTATGGGGTTTAAAGATTGCCACTTGGGTCAAATTAGGACAATTAACGCGCGATATATTTTCGCTATTAAAGCGTAAGCGGAGATTTAATCCGTCTAAGAAATCCTTACAACTTGTTTGGAGGAAGCTTATTTGCCATGATTGATTTGTTACTACGAGCGAAATTTATCACTTTGTACTTTATATGGGGTGTCATTTATGGGTTGTCACAAAAATCTTTAATTAAAAAAAATTCATTGTTGCTACATTTAATTTTTTCATGTTATTACGGTTCCATAGAACTTCGCCCTGATACGAGCGGCCTTGTTTGTTATGGTATTTTAGAACGAGGTATCTTTTGGAATGGTATCTTATTGACTGGGATCTTCTCGTTTGACATCTTAAGGCAAGGGATCTTTTGTCATGTTTTGATGAGTTTGCGGTCACTTTTCACTTTAGAAATTGTTGCATCATCAATTCGACTACATTCATTCGATGAAAAATTGAAATAGAACCCAATCTCTCGTTTCTTATTAACTTGCCTTCTGCATCACTTTTATTGCTATTTCTATGATATAAGGGGCAGTTCAACGACAAAAGTAGCTAGAATTGTAAATATATTAGTCCCGGTTTGGGCAAAATGTTATATAGCCCCAGAAGTTTATGCCGGTACCCACAAGAGCCCACTCGCAAAGTCACCAATGCTACAAACTAAGAAACACTGGATTAAGTATAGTGGCAGCATACTTCAAGAACACTCAAATGAAATTCCATTACATAGTCGGCATCGTCAAAGTAGTTCCAGTCATTTTACACTGCTATAAAACCTGAAAAAGTCTCAGTATAAGTTCCGATTATGAAGAGGGAAAAACGGATCAAAAGGATCAAAAGCAATCCCATCCCCCGTAATGACCAATTGAACTATCTCCTCCCCCAAGCAAAAATAGCAGAACGAAAAAATGGCAAAGACGTTATCAAACTCAAGCAGATGGTTGTTGTGAGAATAAAACGCTATCAATGGACCGACTGATTTTATTTTATGAAAAAGTCGATAAAATTATTTTTTGAAAGTTATAAAACTTTTTTTTGTGGATTTTTGTTTGGGCGATCAATGCTTCGCGGAAAGCAAGTTACTAGGGTGAGCGGTAACTTATAAGTAATGGTGGTTTTCGAACCAGTCTAGTGAGCTGTGGGTTGCATTTTACTTGAATACCAACAATTTTCATGCACAGCACCTTAATAATGTACGTAAAAGCATTTTTTAAGGAGGTTTTCGTTTAAGGTGGTTAAAATGCATTAATGTTAGTCACGATTTCACTGGGAAAATAGTTTTTGGTTTTGATATTGTGTATTTTATTATTCTGCAAGAAATGGAGAGTCTGGCGCATGATTTCATATCATCCGAACCAATGCGGATCTAGGATTTTCTAGAAAGGGGGAGCGGATTTTTAAAAAAAATTTCGCAAACTTTGTCGACCTTTTTACTGGTCGACCAAATTGATTTTCCGAGCTTTCCCAGAGCTTTAAAACTACCCTGTTTTGAACAAATTTTGACCAAAAGGCCGTTTTAGGTATTTTTTCAAACTGTTTGCCAAAAGATCGAGTTTTTTCGGCGCGCGCTTCCCTCTTAAAGTTAGTATATATTGGTGCAGGAGGCGCCTTTAGAAAGTTTAAAGGGTCCGTCACCAAAAATTGATATCTCAAAATAGTACAAAAGGACACCCTTTGGGTCGGCAAGGGGTCGAATCTCTGAGGGGGGCACAAAATATTTAAAAAAACGCTCTGTTTTTTTAAAAAAAAACGTTCCATTCTAAAAAAAAAACGCTCCATATAAATTAAAAAACGTTCCATTCGTTAACAAAAAAGCAAAGCTGCGCTTTGCAAATACTTGCGAGAACACGACCAAAAAACAGCTCTATTAAGTGAAAAAAGAAAAGTGGAAATAATCCTAGAAAAGCAAAACTCGGCTACGTGTCGAATTCGAATCTTTGACCTAGCAAATTTGAATGTCACGCACTAAAAACGCAGCCACGGATGCTCAAAATTCCCAAAAAATAGCCACCCATAAGGCACCTTTATATGCTAATAAATTGCCAATTCGAATCAGCAAAAGTAGAACCAAGTACAAAAAGCCACAATTTTGCATGTAATAAATTGGAAAGCATAATCCAAATTAATTATAAAAAATGCAAACGAGAAATTTGCGAGCTACATTGAGTTGGAAAATTTCTGAAATCGAGCTTTTCATCATTGTTCTGCTGTTTGAAATAAAAAATAACTTTTTTCGGTTCATTTGATGAATTAAAAATGCATCAGCTGTGTTAACTTTATTATAATCAAATGCCAAAGCACATGAAATTATACTGCTACTGAAGCCTACCGCTTCAAAAGTGCCACTAAAAGTAGAACTTTTATTTGCGACTTAAGTTGGAAACAAAAGAAAATTCATACTAATATAGTGCTTCGCAAGTGTAAGCAAGAGTAGCAGGTTGCTGTGTAAATAGCGCAAAAAGTTTCAACTACAATCAGTTGAAAACTTTGTTTCAAAATAACGTTTTTCTTTTTTATTGAAACTTGTACCGATATTGGGCGTAGTGTAGTAAAGGAAAGCAAAAAACTTTAAATTTCAGTGAAATAATCAGAATCGACTCTATTTGTCTTCAAAAATGAATAAAAAACAAAATAAAACAAAAAATCTACGAAAAAAAATGTCTTGCAGATTTTTAAAAAATGAAAAACTATCAATGACAGAGAAGCGCTGAATGAAGCTAATAAACTTATTTTCTCGGATTAAAATTAACTTTTTTCCTTCCTTTAAATGAGATCGATTTCCATCTGAAAAACCTAATTTGCTCGCTCCACTCACTCAATTGTAGACTAGTTACAAATTACAAACCAGTTTTTCTCGACGTTGAACTTGATAATGTTTAAATGTCATTCTAATCATGACTACTAGGGCTAAAATTATTTAACTAAATTTGCTTCCTAGTTTCCTGCAGTTTATCAGAAGAGGAGCGGAGGTTGAATTAGATATAACACTACTGCAAGAATGATAGGTATGAGTTGATAAATATCGTGAAAACTGCAGGAGAAAAAAAATACATGCTCAGTGTCTCAACAAATGTGTAATTCAGTCTGAAAAGTAAATATTTCAAAAAAATTCTCCGACAACAATTTTTTTTCTGAAACTACTTGACTCAATTGATTGAAGCGAAAAAAATACAAGTAAACCAGAACATTTTTTAAAAAAAATTTTAAAATAAACATTTTTATCAACGTTTTTTTATTGTTTTTTCTTCCTGTTTATTCTTTCAAATTTTCTAGGAAAACAAACTGCCAAGCACCCACAGAAGTCGCTGGCGCCTAGATTTTTTCTTTCATCTTAAATTTAATTATTATATTTATCAGTTTTTCGACAGCCCAGAGCATCAGCGAACATTAGGCAGGAATATTAAATCTTTTTCAGCTCAACCTGTAGCCAAAAGAAGGTCTGTGGTTGAAACTATTATTACAAAAATATTTCTAAAATTATTCTTTTAAACTTAAGCTTACATTTGATCTTTTTTCCCATACGACCAAAAAACACGACCAAAAATGAAAAAAAAAATGCACAAAAATTGATTTTCTTTTTTGACTTTTCCTTGTTCTGTAGAAAAATTATAAGTCAGAACCTAGTATGCATTTGCACAGCAACCAGATTTCTCATTTTATATATGGTAGTAATAGTAATTAGAAAGAAACCTAAGTTTTCAGCTCGATGGCACATAGGATGTGGGACTACTTCGACAACGGCGATGATTTAGTGACAAAAAGTGAAAAAGTGTGTGTGTGTGATATACGGGGGTGTTAAGAGGAAGTGGTTGCGGGTTGGGATGGTCAATGAGGTATCGGGATGCGAAATACTCCTTGAGGGGGTCTTCCAACACCAACACATTGAGTGCGGCAGCAGCTGTCCTCTGACAACGAGTAACAAATCAGCAATCAACTCACTTGGCTAATAATAATTCCAAACATTATAGCTAAAAAGAGCACATTTCTGTAATTAAAATTATATACTTTTGTGTTTTTAAGAATTCAAAAACAGGTCCAACACAAGTTGTTTCTGCACGTTTTGAACGCTCATTTCAATTCCGTTTCTAAAAAAAATATATGAATCATATTTCGGAAATGTTGACTACCTGCTTCATTTTCTGTGCCCTTAGAAACGAATGAGTCTGCTTATACCCCGCCCCTCCCAATTGCACCACGTGACCATGGCCTTCCCCGTGGGCCTGACCTCGTGACCTCGGACCAGTCGCTCTTCCTCCTCCTCCTGCCCTTGCTCCTTCGACTGGCACTGTAGCCGGTCTCTGTCTGTTGCGGACACTCAAAATGTCCGGCTTGTCTTCTCCGAGCGAGTAGTTAAACTCCACCCTTTCGAAGTTGAGAGCTAACACGTTGGACAGCGTATTGATTATGATCCTAAAAGCACCACGACTATCCAGTCCAGCTGGTGGTTAGCTGAATGTATATTTTCTTTTATTATAAATTTTATTTTGTTGATTTTTTTGGTAAAACAACAGAAGTCATTCAATACGTCATATGATTTAAGACAAAAATTAAAGCGATCTTAAGCTACTTGAGCTTAAACGTATTCGCATCTCGAACGTCAAGTGAGACATAACATTTTTGAACGAGGTAACGTAATAACAGACAGAGAATTGTTTGCAGCGAGAAGAGATGTAAGTCAAGGCAGCTGTAGCAGGTACCTTAAATTTCGTTGCAAGAAATTTTTATCAAAAAGCTGCCTGATCGGTAAATCATAATTTCAAAGGTCGCCCAGGCTGAGTTGAAAGGAAAAACTATCGTAATTCAGAGATATCGCGGCGATTACCGTCTATGGTTCAGTCTATAATCAGGGTCACTTTATCCATGATCAGGGCTAAGTCAACGCTGAATTAGCGCTAAATTTTCAGCTCTGATTCAGAGATGGATTTTCCCTGCAATAACCCTGAAGACCTATGAATTAGGGATATCTCATTCCTGAAAAGTTACTGACTAGCCATTAGAAATTTCAAGAAAAATTAAGTCATATTTTGAGGAAATAACAAACATATCAGAATATAAAATAGTGAAAATCATGTTATGAATGGTGCAAAAATGTGCATGAAGTTTCTAGATGCTAGTTCTTCACTCCAATTCACAAACTGATTCACGACGCGGGTACGATTTCCCAACAGACATTCTCTTTTGTGTAACTTTAAATTCGATTCGTAATTTAGTACCTTTCATCAAAAGATCCATGTTCATTTGCACGAAGTCCCGAAATTTTCGAAGTCATACCCGCACTTGAATTTAATAACTACTCGAGAACCAGCACATTTTAAATAAATTTTCTTGTGTGAACGTATTTCACTTGCGGAGACTGATACTGAGCTTTTGGTTCTTTCAGGACTAGGTTTCTAAAAACTGAAGTTTTTAAATCCCCAATCGCAACAAAATCCTAGATCCGTTCCATTCCATCTGTTTACCTAGTATCGCCGACAGGCCACATATGGTAGATGGGTTCGGAGCGACTATTGCCTCTGAGAAGTCGCAGACAGTCCCCACTCACTATGTTCCAGATCCTCATCTTCCCATCCATACACCCACTCAGCACCCGCATGTCCTGCAGGTAGACATTCATCACCGGCTTGGGGTGTCGGAACAGACCCAGACATCTGGTGAATTTGCCCACCATCGACCAGATCAGCACAGTCCCGTCTTTCCCACCTAAAACCCTTACTATTAACTCAAAGACCGGGTTGTCAACAAAAATTATATTGAGATTTAAATATTTTCTTAAATTATAGCATCGCAACATCGTTTCGTTTTGTAATTAGTGCTAGCATATACAATTTGTAGGAATTTCTTGTTACGTATTTGTCGGAATTTTCAAAATTCTAGTTGTTTTTGATCAAAAATCAGGTTTTTCATCTTTTTTTTCCAAAGAAAAGTCGCCAACAATCTGTCATTTGCAACTGAATTATCGTTTAATCGGTATTGTTTACCCATTTGATAGCTGAACATCGCTTTCATTTGATCTCATTGATCATTATTTTATTACCTCAAATTGATGTTTTTATTGCATTTAGGCCAGATGCCAAAGATGTAATTGAGCTATTATTGCAATTTTGTTTTTCAATGGATTGTAGCGGAGTGCATCGAACTATGACATCTTGTCATACTTTTTGTCTTTTTCTAATAAAAACAAATCAACGGTTTAAAATGATATCCTTGTTAGTAGACTTTCTAGGTTTAAAAATAGATGTCAAAATTAAAAAGAAAAAGTCAGTTGAAAAAAAATATTCTGTTTTTTAGTCGCTACATAACTTCCCTGACAGATTGCCTGGCAAAATGGTTGCGTTTTGAGCATAGTATTTTGCGGTTAAATAGAATCTTTTCGGTAATTTCGGTGGCCGTGGATATAAATTCGGTAATGTAAGAAAAGTTTTTCTCGGCCCAGGCATCTACTCCCCCCATTCACCCCCTACCCCGATTAAGGAGATGCCCTCAACCACTTCACTACTAATCAGCCCCCCTCGAGTAAAGAGATGACTGACCACTGGCGAGGTGCCACTTGTCACTGTTGAGACACAAGACTGGACTGGGAGAGTGTCCATCCATCTCCTTCACAAACTGCTCATATCGGATGTCCCACACCTATTATCAAAATTAGCAAGTGGTAATTCAAAAGTCGGAGCAACAGAGCCACAACAATTTATCAGACAGTAAAAGAAGTATCAATTAAATCAAGAAAACCAAAAAAAAATGAAAGCTCTTCGCGTTAAAGCTCTTTGACTTCAAGAATATTTCACGAGTAACACGCTTTTTCTTAAATTCGCATATTTTAGAAGAAAAAATTAAGAGTTGGTCTGTCAAAAACGAGTGTGATGGGTTAGAATCCTGCAAAAAACAAACCCCCTCCCCCCCTCGCAACTCCGTCCCTTCTTTAAACTGTCTGGCTACGAAGAAGCTTGAAGAAATGATCGAGAATGGATGGAAAAATGTTTCACTTGATTGTCTCTCAAAGCCGCGATTTATCTCTTTTGGGGCGTAAAGGTCGCATCTAAGTATTTTCGGTCGCAATTAGTGCGACTTAAGTCGCGTACCTTGGCCCGGGATATAAAGTTCAAAATACAATCATACCTTCACCACTCCCCCACTGTCTCCACTGCAGAGTTTGTCCCCATTCAAGTCAACACACAGCACACTGTCCTTGTGTTTGAAGGTCATTGTCACCACGCCACGAGATATCTCCCAAACTAACCAATTCAAAAGAAAGATTTCATAAGAAACATAGCCCAGTGTTGCTGCAAACGTGAACCAAATGAGTAAAAGAAAGAAAATATCCTAATTGATGATGGCAAATTTATTGGTAGACAGTAGCCGGGGGGTTCTAATCTAGTCGAGGTTTTGTCTACTTTAAAGAAACTGAAGTTTAAGCAGGAATATAAAAAACAAGGATAGCCAGTTGTTGCGTAAAAAGCGCAGAAAAATGCGAACACAACGATTTAAGAAAACAAATTCAAAAAAAACACAGAGGCGAAGACGAGCTTCGCACCACTTGCAATACAAAACAAGAAAGCCGTTGTCGAAAAAAATCGAAAATATTTATATTTCGAAAAAAACGAGATCTATCAAAATATGTAAAGCTGAGTTTGAAACAAAAAAACATGCAAAACAACAGAATGTGAATCAGCATGCGACGCAAATTTACCAAGAAGTAGCAAAGCCAAAATTACCTAAGCCGAAAAAAATTTAAACACAGAGGCGAAGCCTCTGTTTTAACTTGTTATTTAAAACAAAGTGAAATAAGGCCAAAAGAAAAGACTAAAAAACCACTTGAGAAAATTTTTGATGAGACTAGGAGTATCACGTTCTCACATCTTCTCCGCGATCGCTTGTAATTTTACTAACACACACTAGCCACCAATAAAGAGGCTACAGATTCTATCAAATTGTTAATGCTATGTAGCGAAATTTCGACCAAAAAATTATTACAATGTTCCGGATTCGAATCTTCGACCTGATGATTTGGAGTCTCACGTCCTGGCATCTGCGCCACAGCTGCTTGGAAGCGCCTCTTTTAATAGTGTTAGTCATATTGTACTGATATGGAATTGCTTAATTTTAGAAAAAAACTCTTCACGCAAAACCCTTGTGATTTCTCTGCTTGAGTAGGTGATTCGTCGCTCATTTGAGGAGAAAATAACTGCTATCTTTTTCAACTAAAATCTTACACTCAGATTTGGCTGGGTAGTTTTCGAAAAAAAATTGACTTTCATTAATTCATAAACTTTTCTCTACTAAAGCATGGAAATGGCGTCTTGTTCATGGAAGATTTCCAATCTCTAAATTTTAGACTGAACTCTTAATATCAGATTTAACTAGTAGTTTTTAACTAGTAAAAATAACAAAAATTTCAAGAAATGGATTTTTCCTTATCAAGATTTCAAGAATTCAATCTACGGACAATCTATGGATTTAAAGAAATGGATTTAGTGCATATTGGCTTTTCTACAAACAAGTAGGGTGTAACAGACTGCGCAGGCAAAATTTGAGCACCATGTTAGTTTAGTTAGATAAAATATCAACCTCAAAAACGGCAGGTCAGTTTTCGGGAAAAAAAATTTCCAAAAAATCAGGCATTATTTCAAAAATAGGACTTTTTCTAATGCCGTATTTTTCCAAAACTTAAGGCATAGATTCTTGCGCAGAGAAGAGTCGCACAACTGACTTTTTTGCTTTCGGTTAAAACCTTAATCTCCAATTTTGCAGGGGTAGTTTTTGAGAACCAAAAAAATTTTTTAAATTAGCCAAAATGTCAAAACAAAAAATGGGTATGTTTGAGGTCATAATTTTTTTCTACCGATTTTAGGGAATAACCACTTGAGAAGAGAAGATACCCATGATTGGTTCTTTTGATTGAATTGATCATTTCAGATTTGTGCTTTTACTACTACAATCTGAAACTGAAAAAATTTGAGAAAATTAAAAAATTTAAAACAATTGGGTCGAAAATCCCCCTACTGAAACTTTCGAAGGCCGTATAACATGGGCAAAAATTAAAACAGACAAGCAAAATATACAGGAACATAGAAGAGCAGCCGATTTTTTCATCGGTACCCCTTTTTTGAATATCAGTACAGTAGTTTTTGGGAAAAATTAAAATTTCCAAGATTAGCCAAAAATTAAGCATCAACATATGCAATTTTAAATTGCCTTTGCTTAAATAAGCTTAAATATGATTAATTTGAAATATACCAAAAGTACCACCAAATGAGCACTTTTAATTGCGACGTAAATTGGGAAAAAGTTCTTCGTAATATTACACTACGCTCAGCGTGTGTAAAAAAATTCCTTCCTCAGAAACAAAAACACAAACTTTTATTAACACATTTATAAACAAACTTTTATAAACACAAACTTTTATAAACAAAAACTCAAACACATATAAAACTTTTTTTGCTAATCAAATGGGGCCATTAAGCCGGTAGAATATAGAATATTGGTCGATTCATATTAGCAAAAAAGAAAAAAAAAACTCGCAAAAACCGATATTCTAAAAAATTCGAAATGGTAAAGTTATGATTTTCGAAATAGATACGAAGCTGATTTTTCAAAACACATACAAAAAAAGCCAAAAAGTAGCTCGAAAGGCTCAAAAAAGAGAAAAAATCAAAATTAAATTAAAAAAAGAATGTGTGTTTTTTTCTTCATTGTGAAATGTTAAAATTTTTTAAGAATCCGAATAAAAACTGATGGAGCTTTAATATGGTCCACCTTGACACTCTACCACTTCCTTTGGATTAGTCAAAATCGAGAGAGAAAACATACCCTACGCCATAATTTTCCCCATGACTTCATTTAATTTTCCACCGAATGGACACTTTTTACCTGTGAGTGTCTATGAATTAGGTGCTCATGGTATCTAGGTATTTGAAACTTGAATGGGATAATTTGATTGTCCGTAGGTTGTATGAATTTTAAGC